AGGCAGGTAGGCAGGTAGGCAGGTAGGGAGGCAGGCAGGCAGGCAGGCAGGTAGGTAGGTAGGTAGGTAGGTAGGCAGGCAGGTAGGTAGGTAGGTACTTCGTGGTTTCCTGGGCCAATACACCCTGGAACGAATCGTATTCCTGCCACATCAGGCTACAAATTGGCGCAGAATCTGTGATTCAGCATTCGTCTCGAAGTATCCCCCTCGTCAGAATGGATCAATGCTTTAGCCAACTGAGCAAGGAAGGCAAGGGAGGGCGAGATGGGTGGATACCGTGTCCGACAATGCTCTGCACTGATCCGGCTGCGAAGCCACTTCGCGGAGTGATGGCACGTGTCCATCTATCGCACAGTCTCGATGCAAGAATTGACCATTACGCAATGCTTCAGCAAAGAGTGTGGCGCGTGTTAAAGATCAAGCTGCCGGACTACGAACTGTTTGCAGGGGGTCAGCTCGACGGTCTTGGAGAGAGATTGGGGGAAAACGCTTGGTTGCCTGACCGGACAAGGAATTCATGAATCTCTTTCGGCTTGCCTAGCAGGAATCATGGTTTCCCCGATAGCTAGCTGATCGCGGCAGCCTGAGACTGGCAGAATGTGCCACGAGACAGAACCGCGGGAAGGCCTCCTGGATGCTGCACTTGCTCGGGCTGCTGCTGCTGCTGCTGCTGCTGCAGTGCCGGCTGCTGCGGCTGCGCTGGCATGGGCACTGGCTGTGGCTGTGGCTGAGGCTGAAACGGCATCGCTTGAGGGCGCGGGGTGTCGTACTGCGGCTGCACGGCGGCTTGCACGGCTTGCTGGGGCTGCAAGCGAACAGGTGCCTGCGAGGGCTGAAGCTGAGTGGGGGCAGTGGGGGGCTGCTGAATCTGTGCTGGCGCTTTGGGAATGTGGCTGGGTGGGTACGCTTGGAATGAAGCCGGTTGGCTTGTGGGGGGTGTCGAGGGTGGTGCCTGCGATGATTGGGGAGTGTGCAATTGTGTTTGCGCCGGCTGCGACGACTGTGAAGGTTGGTTGAGGGTTGCAGCGCCTTGCGGGGACGTTGGTGGGAGGTCGCGCTGTGGCACAAATTGCGGCCTCAATGCGCGATCTGCAGGGCCGAAGCTCATGAAACCCTGCAGTTCTCAGGCGACTACCCCATGGGTTGGGAAGGCTGGGCACTGTGGGACAATGGAGGCAAAGTTGCAGGTAACGGCCTCACAAAGGTCTTCAGACCGATCCAACACATTGACATGGGATAAGCTCTCAGTATCAGGCTGCTGCATGTCCTTCCGTTGGCCGCTCATCTGACATTCGTTGACATCTCCATGCTTGGCCCAGGTTCTACTGGTCTTCTCCACCTGCCTGTGCTCCCATAGCTGCAAACTGCACCTGATATCATCATGTTGCAAAGCACGCAACATGAAGCGCGACACCTGCAAACCTACAGCGATTGCCAATCATTCTCTCGAAATGTCGCACCCAACTCTCCCATGCCAGTCCTGCGGTCGACAACCACAGGGTCCTGATGCCCCACAGGCAGCTGACGCACAGTACAGCCTTCCGCGTGAAAACCCACTTTGCCTGCCATGGCCATCATTTGAGCAGCCTTAGACCGCGGCACACAAAGTAAGGTCCCGCTTTACCCGTGAAGTTCCGTGAAGTCTGAAGACCTCTGCCTGAGCGATGCACGAGATCTGGCCAGAACTGAGCCATGGGGCTTCGGGCTCCACGCTTGATCCTTACATCTAAAACGCTTGCCACCTAGGCAAAGAAAACGTTCCTAGCTTTGAGGTGCTGCGCCAGACTGACAGTGATCTGTGTTTTACGTGAGTTCTTTTTCAGGCCTGACCTCCAAAAACATGCACGTTCTCTAGCGAAAACCCCAAGGTTTGAAGTGAGGACACGTCTTCCACCAAGAAGCTGCAAGCCAAGATGCCTTCAGTTTCAGTGTATCAGCTGCTCCGGCCCAAAATCGGGGAGTTGCAAAGAATACAGTGACAGAGCAAAGTGACGTTCAGCTGGCTTGGCCGAGACTTTAGAAAATCAAGTCCTGCCTGCGGAAGTGCACATGCCAGCGACATCAAAACAACACCACACAGTAGGCTGGTCCTTCAGCACCAGCACCAACGCCTGGCCTCATTGTTCGACGACTTCGGTGACTCCGTCCATCCATCGATCCATCCCTTCGCTCTATAGTGGAAACTATACTGGAAACCGTGTCACTTCAGACGATTTCTACGCATGCTCGCTCATATCAGTCACATCAACCTCCACTGCCAACATGAAGCAACAACTCCACGAATCAACTTGCCTACAAACACGCAGACCATGTCTTGCTTTGAAGACATGCCAAGCGAAAGCCGAACTAGTAAATCCTGTGAGAATACTTTTTGCTGGGTAAACTTTTTTGGCGGCGTCCAGAGCTGCAGGGCCGCAGGCCGCAGGCCGTGAGGCCGTGGGGCTGCTGGGCATCCCCGCCGCGGGTGGGGCAAGGCTGTGGGGGGCCCGCGAACCCTAAACAAAAAGAATGGTTGGCATCAGGCCATCAAGGAGATGTTTGTTGACTGCTATATTGACAAACCCCAAACCCCAAAGCAGATGTTGAAACCCTATTTCAGGGTGAATGGTTGGGAAACCAGATGTTGAAACCCTATTTCAAGTTGAATGGTTGGGAAACCCCAAACCCTGAAAGGAGATGTTGGTTGACCCAAAGCCGGCGAAGAAGTTGCAAAACCCTAAAAGCAGATGTTGAAACCCTAAAAAGTGTGAATGGTTGGGAAGCCCCGAACCATAAAAGAACATGTCGGTTAAACTAAAGCCTGCAAAGAAGCTGTAAATTCACAAACCCCAAACCCTAACAGGAGATGCTGAAAGCCTACACAAAAACAATGCTTGGCAAACCAAAACCCTAAAAGGACACGTTGGTTGACCCAAGCCTGCAAAGAAGCTGATTCTGATATTGCCAAACCCCAAAATCAAAAAGGACATGCTGGGAAACCCCAAACCTCAAAACGAGATGTTGGTTGACCGAAGCTGCTCGCCACGGGTTCAGCAAGGCTGCGAGGGGGGGGGGCCGTGCGACCGTGCGCGGCTGCGGACTGCGGGCCGCGAAACCCTAAAAGGAGATGTTGGCTGACCCAAAACCTGCAAAGAAATGCTATTCACAAACCCGAAACCATAAAAGGAAATGC